CACTCCATCTTCTCTCCTCACTCTGTCCATGCCTCAGGCACTGCCGCCCATTACCGGAGACCACAGCGAGTGATTGCTTCCTCAATACTGTCTCACTCTTCTCTCTCTAAACACAAGCAATCACGTATCTTCTCTTCTTCCTAATTTCTCTTCTCTCAACAGTAGCGGCGCCGCCACTGGAAGAGGATCTTCCTAATTTCTCCTCTCAACAGTAGCAACTGTGTTAGCTGCAGATCTACTCACTTACTTTTTTTTTAAAACTTTTGAGTGGTGGTAATTGATGGTTCAATGGTGGATGTGTACGATGCGATGGTGGTGTTAGGTGTGTGGTGTGGCAATGATATGCTATGGTGTCACGGTGGTGGTGCAGTGGTGGTATGGTGCGGTGGAGGTAGAGGTGTAGGTGTGCGATCGATGGCTGTGACGGTGGATTGCTGTTGGCAGTGTAAATGCTGTAGACTGATTTTCGTGTTGTGATAGGGATGGCTCTGGCAGTGGTGTTCAATGGTGGTGGTGGTGCGGTAGGAAGGGTAGATGACGCTAGTGGTTGTTTACCGACTAATGTTGCTGTGATCAGCGATGGTCGTGGTGGTGTTGTGTAGGGTGATAGTTTTTGTTGGTATAAATGGTGGTTGTGGTGGTGGTGGAGATGGTGAAGCGGTGATGACGTCGCAATGATGGCTTTTGTAGGGTGTTGGTGGTTTTGTATTTGTTTTGTTTTGTTTGTGGTGAGGTGGTGTTAGTTGCGGTATCTGAGATGATGAGGCTACTAGAGATGGTGGTGGTGGCAGCGACAGTTTTGACGACGATGTGGTTGGTGGTAGTGGTGAGATGGTAGTCACAAGTGTTGGCGATGGTCATAGATGATTTGATTGTCTGTAACCAAAAAATTGGCGTATCTGACCAACCATTTAATTATCTGTGATCATCTATTTAGTGTGACTTAAAAATTTAATAATCTGTAACCAAGTAATTTGGACTTGAAATAATCTGTGACCTATAAATTTTTGATTTGTGACCTTGAAATAATCTGTGACCAATTAATTTGATGATATGTGACCAGTAAATAAATCTGTAATCTATAATCGTGAATCTGTGACCATTTATCGTGTAACTGTGACTTTATTATATTTAATTAATAAATATTTTCAATTAGTTATATAGATACTTGAATTTTGATTTTTTAAACTACGTACCTCATTTGTGAATTGGTGTAAACAATACACTGAAATTATGATTTTTTTCCCTTTGTTAAATGCAGTAGTTGGGATGCTTGAGAAGTATTTGCAATAGTGCCAAGGTGGCGGGCTCAGTGGTGGATGATGGGATATTGGAAATAATTGATTTTTGGGTGCACTTGTTTTCGGGAATAATTGATTTTTATGAACGTAGAAGTGGGCCCTCATTATTGTCATTTGGCTATGTTTTGGGTGACTTTTATGAACAAGAATAAAATCAGTTAGCTAGGATTAGCCCTCATTATTGTCATTTGGCTATGTTTTGAGTGACTTTTATGAACAAGAATAAAGTCAATTAGCTAGGATTAAAAACAGGGAAGGAGGAGACAGACTGAGATAGCGACAAATGGTTGGATTTTTTTTTGTTTTAATTTTTCAAATTGTCCAAACGTAGAGCAACACGTGTTGCCCGTTTTTTCACCCTGAATGTGTAGCACAATTGAAACTATAAACAATTCTATCATATTGGTCAAATTTTTCATAATAAATAATAATTAAAAAATTCAATGCAATGACGGTTTAACTAGGTATATAATAGGTTAATAGCGCATTTAACCACATATGACTATTTCATCCACTAAATTTTTAATAAAATGACATGAGTGTCCCTCATAATTAAAAACAACAAACTAGTGCTCGTGCTCCATCATTTGATTCTACACTTGGCCAGCTACAAAGGGCAAACAGGCTTTTGGAACAATGTGCAATCACACTTGAATTAGTCAACTATTATAGGTAGTAGTGTCAACGAGCCGAAACTCAAGACTCGGGCTTGACTCAAGTAAAATGGTCTGAGCTTTTTTGCAAGCCCAAGTCAAGCCGAGCTTTTGCTCGGTCAAGAAATTTAGGCTCGACTCAAACTTTTGGCTCAGGCCTTACCTAGCCGAGGCTCGATTTTTTTTATTTTACTTTAATTTATAAATATAAGGAAGCTGCTACCTTTTTTAAGGACTCCTTTTTTAAGGCAGCCTGAGTCCTTAAAAAAGGCAGCTGCCTTAAATAAGGTAGTACCCTGTTGCCTTTGAATTGGTTTTTTATTATTTATTTATTTTTTTAAATAGGTTCGTAAGCTTGAGCTGACGAGCTACACGGGTTGGCTTGGGTTCTGTCTGGCATTCCAAAATGGGGCTTGGCCCGAGTTTCGAGTCAGGCAGCTCCGGCTTTTTTCGAGCCGAGCTACTGACAGTCGGAGCCCACAAGCTAAATTGCCATCCCTAATTGTAAGTATGTAATGTGATGGCAGGTTTTCAATCAAAATGACAATAGTGGGATCCATTCCAGATGCTCGAAAAATTAATTATATTTTTAAAATAAACGCACTCAGATGCTTTGGATTTTAAAATTTTAAATTTGTATTTAATTTTTTAATAATAGCATAACTCGAAATTTTGAAAATGTAAAAAAAAAAAAGGGGGGGGGCAACAAACGGGACCCCCGCCCACCCCATCTAAGTCGGACTGAGGTGGGCGGGCCACCACCATCCCTACTTGAGTTGTGGAGAACCTCCACTAAGAAACCCCAACTTTGTCTTAGCTTTTGTTTGATTCTCATTATTTTCAAAATACATTTTCATTTATCTTCTTTTCAATCACAAATTTTTCAATAAAATAATATTACATTCAAATTCAAAAATTTTCCTCATTTTTAGACCACACAGTCTTCATCAATTTACTATTTCAAAATACATTCTTAGTTAAAAATGGGGCTCAAATAGGCCCTTAGATGTTTATTCTTTTGTAGGTAGATTTCCAAAATCTACGTCACATGGAGATTAGGAAAAAATCTGCCTCAACGAAAATAAAAATAAAAATTAAACTTAAAATTGAGTGAGAAAGAGAAAAATAAAAATTTAACGTCATTTGACGAATCACCAATAACCACAAGAGAAATAGACCTCATAATACACGAGTTTTCTCTCCCTTTTACTTCTCCCAATACGAAACTAAAATGAATAAGTAACGACGTAAACTTATTCGTAATTTTTTTTCTTCTAATTTTTTTCTCTTTTTTTCTCTGTTTAGAATTCATATTTTTGGTACCTGAATCTTGTTCTCTCTCTGTCATTAGCTGTCGTGACCCTTCAATTGAATAATTCATAAAAAATATTAGAAAGATGTTCTTCCTAATCCTAATTGCATTATGAGTTATTTTCTCTTTTAGCCAACATAATTCTTATATATTTTCCTTTCTTTTGCCAAACAAAAATTCTATTTTTCTTTCCATGATATAACTCTTCTATTTTATAAATTTGAGTCAAAGCAAACATAAGATTTTTGTACATCTAAGCCTTTCGTCGTTTTGAATTTCAACGCCAACCTTATCAAAAAAACCTTATTAAAAAAAAAAAGGATTATAGTGTTCAATAATTTCCTTCCATAAAATTCCAGTACCTAAATGTATTGTTTGTTTCACAATCGCACTGATTATGGTTTAATAAGCTTTAATATTATTAACTTGTTTTCAAGTAATATGCTTTGATACAATTTACTTTCTTAGTACTTCAAGTATAGAGTTATTTCTTTAAACTTTTAAAGTAATGATACTTTGTTTTCAAAATTAGTACTTTACTTATTGCTACCTTTTAGCCATAAAAGATTAAAAGTTTTTTTATTTACTCGCACAAAGATTACTTAAGCTTAACAAACACATTCTAAACTAGTGTCTCTAGACAGTTATATGAATCTTTTTCTACTAGACGGTTTGTTTCATTGTTAGATATAGCGAACTTGCAAACATAAAGAAATTTTCAGTTCCTTTCTAAACATGCATAGGCATACTCACAACCATGTCGATTAGTTTCTTAGAGCAAATATTCATTAGTAAGCGCCACCACCAAACAAAACTATTGACAACTGACAATGGTTCTCAACAATTCTGTTGTAGGGAGATATCAATTAAATACGAAATAGAATAAAGGACAACTGTAAGAGATCACAAACTTGTGTACTGAATGCGAACAATCAAGAAAGGATTTTAACGGCTAAAACTTTAACAGAGAGCAATAGAAGAACGTTGTTTTTTTCCCTAACATTGGAAAATGTGACCTTTAAACCATGTGGAACTTTACGAATGTCAACATGCATATGCATTATTCCTGGATTAAATAAACCATTAATAGGCAATTCATGCAGTAGCAACCCTTGAAAATGATTATGAGCAAAATTACGATTGAAAGAGGGACTTCTCTAAAAATCTATACATGGATGAATTGAATGGCATGATGGAATATGGTAGAAAATAGAAATTGAGACAACAATACCTCTTCGAAGTTAGAGGGGAAAAAGAAAAAAGTAGAGAGAAAAAGTGAAAATAAAGAATAGAATACATATTGGGATAGCCATATTTTTCAATCTTAGAAAGTAGAGAGAGAAAAAGAGAAAAGAAAGTAGGGAATTAAAAATTGGGATAATCATTTTCTCCAATGTTAGAGAGACAAAGTGGGAAGAGAAAAAGAGAAAAAGTGACCAAACTAGCACTATCATTACAACGACTAATTCAATCTGGATTTCGCTATTATGCAAATTCAAGTACGATAAGTTTAAAAAATGTAAAGTTAATTTTGATTGACTCGTCACTTTAAACATATCTATATTAGAAAAAAATTTAGGTATCGTTTGGGTTATTGATGCATATGCATACCACGACATTGTACATGTCTATTTGATATGGTGACTTGCAGCAGCATTTTGGAACGTTAAGGCCCAGTTACCATGTGATATTTTGTCACTATTCATATTAATGATAACATTGCTTTTTTCCATCTGCAAGAACTATTAGCATTGTTAATTATATAATATTTGCTCCTTGGAAATCCATAATTGGCTCATCTGTGATAAATAATTGTATGATCCATCAGTACTAATACCAAACCACAAACATCTGCATTTTGCATCTCTCTTTTCTCTCTCTCCAAAATCAATCAATCACACACTGTACACTATTCCAAAACAAGAAAATGGATGCTGCGATTAGTGCTCCGGTTCAAGTTACCCTGCAGAAATTGCTTGATCTTGCCACTTCAGAATTGAATCTGGTGTGGAGTTTCAAGAAAGACTTACGAAAGTTACACCGATCGTTGAAAATGATGGATAGTGTCTTACAAGATGCTGAGAAACGTGAAGTTACCGATGAGGCTGTCAAACTCTGGCTCAAGAACCTTCGAGAAGTCACTTACGATGCTGATCATGTCTTAGACGAGATGAACTATAAAAATATGCGTCATATGGTGGAGATCCAAAACCAGACTAAGATAAGGGGGTGCTTAAACATCTTTTCCTTTATCCCGTCTTTGGCGTTCAGATGGAGAATGACTCGCAGGATCAAGGACATCAACATCAACTTGAAAATGATCGAAGATGAAGCTAATACCTATGGCCTCCAGAGAGTTGCTGACTTTGCTCTGTCTTTGCCTCTGGCCCCGGAAACTGACAGCGTAACCGTTGATCCAATTGTCGTTGGGAGACAAAATGATGAATCAGTAGTTGTGTGGCTAATAACTAGACCTGTCGATGAAGTTCTTTCAGTCCTTCCCATAGTTGGAATGGGAGGGCTTGGCAAGACAACCTTAACTCGGTTGGTCTTCAATCACCAGCACACAAAGAGTCATTTCGCCATTAGGATTTGGGTATGCGTTTCTGAAAATTTTGATGTGATGACGCTTTTTAAACGGATTCTGGAGTCTTTAGGAGAAAGTTTTCAAGGAATCAGCAGGCAAGCTGTTGTGGATAGGCTTCGAGAGAAATTGAAAGACAAAAGATACTTGCTTGTTCTTGATGATTTGTGGAATGAAAATAGAGAAGCTTGGGAGGATTTCAAAAATACTATGGCTGGAGTTAACGCCAATAGAGGAAATGTCATCATAGTGACTACACGTCAACAAAGTGTGGCATCAATAGTGAAAACTTACAGAGATCCATACAGCTTGGAATTATTAACAGATGAGGAATGCTGGTTTATAATCAAAGCAAGGACATTTCGAGATGAAGAAGTACCAGAACAATTTGAGAAAGTTGGAATGAAGATTGCATGCAAATGTAGAGGTCTGCCATTAGCGGCAAACATGGTCGGCGGAACTTTGCAAGGAAAGGAAGTAGCTGACTGGGTTTCTGTCCTAGAGATCGGGCTTTCAAATCTTGAAGCAAATGAAAATTATGCTATGCAAGTCCTGAAAGTAAGCTTTGATCGATTATCTTCTCCGTTACTTAAAAAGTGTTTTGCCTATTGTTCAATATTTGCCAAGGATTCAGAAATAGAGAGAGAAGATTTAATCCAACTCTGGATGGCGGAAGGATTTCTTCCGGATAATCTAGAAAATAATATGGAGACTTTAGGCAATACATGTTTTAACATTCTGTTGCGAAATTCCTTCCTACAAGAGGCCGTAGAGGATGAGTATGGCAATATCAAATACTGCAAGATGCATGATCTTGTGCATGATCTGGCATGCTCAGTATCAAATTCAGAAAGCTTTAATGCCGAGTATCGCTCTATTGATGTCATCCCTAAAGTTAGATACCTTGCAATGGAATTGCTTGAAAAGGAAACACAAGCAATTACAGAAGAGAAAGCAAGTTATCTGCGCACATTTTTCTTGCGAAGGAAAAGCTTACCTGACAAAATTTGGCCATGGTTCAAGCACCTACACATTCTAAAGTTATGTGGCGGAGACTTTGAAGTTCTTCCTTCCGCAATTGGAAAGTTGATACATTTGAGATATCTTGAGACGTTCGACAACATTCCAAATTCAGTTTGCAAGCTCTACAATTTGCAAACATTAAGGATTACTAACTGCTTCGGCATTGAACGACTTCCAAAAAGGCTATCTGACTTGAGTAATTTGAGACATCTTTATTTGTATACCCTTGACATGGAATTCCAGATGCCACCTAACATAGGAAAATTGTCTCATCTTCAAACATTACCGTTATTCAAAGTGGGGGATAAGGAAGGTTGTCGAATCGAAGAGCTAGGATTTTTGAAGAATCTTATAGGCGAACTGGAGATACGTAATCTTGAACTAGTGAATGGCATAGAAGAAGCTAAGAAGGCGGATTTGGTTGGAAAGTCAAAGATATATAAGTTTAGTTTTATGTGGACAACATACTTTAGTGGGAATGTCTCGGAAGGCAACAACAACGATGAAAGTGTCCTTGAAGGCCTCCAACCTCACCAGAATTTGAAGAGCATAACAATTGAAGGGTTCAAAGGTACGAACTTTCCATTATGGACTAAGAGAATGGAATTATTTGTTGATGGCTGTGGTGGGTTGAAACTTGATAAATTGATCGAGGTCGACTTCAGTTATTGCGAAAATTGTGAAGAAATTCCCATGTTTGGCCACCTGCCACTCCTCAAATATTTGACCTTGAACTTTTTGACTAACTTACAATCCATAGATTCTTCATTCTATGGTGGCCAAGAGACAAGGGTAACGTTCCCAGCACTTGAAAGACTTATTCTAAGGAACATGCTAAACCTAACAGAGTGGGCGGAAGTTGAGGTGATGCCGATGGCGGAAACACAAACATGCAGAGAGCGGGTATTTCCTTGCCTTGAAGTTTTGGTGATTGAAGGTTGTTTCAAATTGAATACTTCTCCAAGTCATTTCCCTTGCTTGAAAGAATTGAAGATTAAGCATATGCAAAGTGATTTTCTATTGACAAAGATTTTGAGTAGTAGCAACCGAACTTCTTTGGAAAAACTCTCAATCATGAGTATATACACGCCTACTAGTCTTTTCCACTTGAAAGGATGCCGGAAAAACCTTCGAGAGTTAATTATCGAAGACTTATCCGAATTGAGAGAATTACCTGATGATCTACATAGCTTCCAGTCTCTTGAGTCTTTGATTATAAGTGGATGTCAAAATCTGCAATCAATTTCATATCAGAATGGACAAAAAGGTCCCCTTTCTCTTCGACAGTTAACATTTAGTAATTGCTCTGAGCTGATCAGCCTGCCAAGTGAAATGATTGAGTCCATCAGGTGTTTGGAGTTTCTAGACGTAGTTGAGTGCAACAACCTCGTTTCTTTTGCCATAGATTTGGGGGAATTGCCTTGTGTTTCAATGTTAAGTATACACCATTGTCGTAAATTGAGGAGTTTGCCCAAGGGAATTGGCCGTCTTAACAACTTAAGATATTTGCACTTTGGTAGATTCTCAAAATCAATTGATTTCAACTCATTCCAAGCTGCTCTCGACGGCATCCAACAATCCAAATCTCTCTGCAGATTGTATTTATATGGTTGGGAACATGAGGAGTTATTGCCATATCAACTTCAGCATCTCACTTCGCTCGAATACTTAGAATTAAATGGTTTTGGAATTGAAGCATTACCAGAGTGGTTTGGGGGTCTGTCATCTCTTTCAAAATTAAACCTAATGAATTGTCGAAAGCTTAGGCATATGCCTTCTAAGGAAGTGATGCAACGCCTCACCAAGCTAGAACATTTATATGTTCATAATTGTCCATTGTTGGAGGAGAGGTACAGGGAAGAAAGAGGCCCTGATTCTGAGTGGTCCAAGATTTCACATATTCCCAACATATTTGGACTGTACCAACGTGGGTAAAGAGGCCTGATATGCTGATATAGTTGTGGTAAGTATTTCAGCTCAATCACTTAATTTTTCATTATTTCCATTTATTAAACATTACAATATGTTATTAATTGGTAAACTTCAGTGTATTTTGCAATAAAATCAGATACTGTTGCATGAATTCAATCAACAAATCGCCAATCATTAATTCCCATATCAATTGCTAATTCTATTTGTAAATAAATAAAAGATTTCACATATTCCTTCTATACCCATATCTGGACAACACCAATGTGGTTAAAGAGGCCCGATATAGTTGGTAAGTATTGGAGCTCAACCACAAAAGTTTTCATTTGGTAAAGTCAAAATCAAAGGAACTCCGGGATTTGTTAATAGTTTATATTTTTACTATGTTGAAATTATTATTGTATTTTATATATGATATGTTTCTCTAATTGCAAGTCAATTATGCTTAACCTAGTATCTATACTGAAATACATAAAACTTATTTTCTAAATGTCGCTCTGATATCATAATGCAAAATTAATTTATTATCCCTTTCATTGTTGTCAGTGAGAAGTGGTATTGATTAGTCAAACGTGCAAGGTGAATGATGCAATTTGCCTTTTCATGAGGTTTAAGCAAAAATGAACTTCTCCGGTGTAGATTCTTGGGGGGAGCTAGGTAGTCCTCTTTCAACATTATTTTAAGAATGATTGCAGTCCAGAGTGCATGGAGTCTATGAATTGTTAATTTCTGTACGTCGAGTTTGTTGAAGTCATTTATAAACATTGTTGTACTTTAATTATTTCTTAGTGTTTATCAAAATACTATTATGCTCGACTTACTTCTTAGGTCAAGATGCTAGTTCTTATACTTATCATTTTAATTTTTTATTGCTTTACGTGATTTTATAGAATTTTGCATTGGTGAATCAATTTGCAAGGATGATGATAATTTTTCTTTTTCGCCGTTGATGCGGTACAAGGAAGCAATTTGACATATATAATTTTCCATATCTGAATTTAAGCATTAATTGTTTTTCAACAAATTTTATGTCTACTTTGGACATAATCATGAAAAAGAACTAAAGTACAACAAAAATGGAAGGAAACAAATTGATGGAGCTCAATATCATGCCTCAGTCGATGAATGTGTCACTGTCTTTTACTTGTGTGAACACGACAAAACAACATTGCTCTCCAAGTATTCAAGATGGGTTTGCTAGTGGTACAATATTTATTATTTATAATTAATTAATGCATCTTAGTGCGAAAAGCTATAGGGCCTTCGCCCATTTGCAGCATGGTCTGTAATTTGGATGATAACAAAGAGTCTCGATACGGTGTGTAGTTTAAGAATCTTACTTTATAAGGCCATGTGAGTGCACAATTTGGTAATAATGGACATCAAGCTTAAACTTTTAAGTACATACAAGAAACCCAAAATATAGGAGTCCCAAACACGTGTAATAATATATTTGGGAAGTGTTTTTAAACGTTTTAAATTATAAATAAATAGAAATGAGTATTAAACAAGTGTGTAATACTTGTCCTTCGCATTAGTTCCACAACCAAGAATTAGTATTAAGCATAAACGGTACTTTAAAACTCATTTTTGAAGTGAAAACTCTTATCATAATTGAAGTATTCAGTACATGTCTACGTATGTCGAAATTGACTCGATAGATTGACTCGATGAAATTGTGGTCTCAATAAGTATCCTTACCGAATTGTGCACTCACATGTGCAAATTTTCTAATAAATGACTTAAAAGTAGTTCATTTCATTATTATTATTATATATTTCATACAACTGGTTAGTACTGTATATGATTAAATATGACTACGTACTGTATCATTTGCTTAAGTGCCTTGTGGAAAGGAGTTTGCATAAATATTAGGAATTTGCTCACATAAATGTACACAGCTAATTTATTTTTTTCTTTTAATTATTGTTCAGTGGATATGAGTATTGAATTGTCAAATGCTCTCTTCAATCAAAGACTCTTGCAAGTATTATTCGTGAAATCTGGAGTTCTTGAACTCTATGAATTGGTAATATTACATATTCGAGATTGTTAAAACCATGACCAAAATATATTCTGCTTTATACTATTTATTTGTGTATGATAAAAGGTTTTTTCTAATGCTAATTTATCGTATTAAATTTTTTACTGCCTCGTATGATTTATAGAATATGTATATTGTTGAATCTATAGTATACCCATCAATGGAACCAAATACATATACAAGATTGTATGCTTTTGTATGCTTTTTCCAGTAACTACAGAAGAGGGACTTAGACCATAGCGATACAAGGGTAATTAATTGTAATCATGTCAACCGTGATTCAAGATGGTACTGTCGTTGAAGATACAAATCACGAAACGAAAAACACTGAACTATTTGACGTAATAAAGGCTTGATAATTGGAGGGGGGGGGGGGGGGGGGAAGATTTCCTGACGAATTTTATGTTGAAATTACAATATATGATCAAACTGTAATAAACATGAATTATTAACACAAAGAAAATGCATTGGAATAATTTTCAAGATCAAAATCTATTTTCTTCTTGTAACATATGTAAAGATTCAATTCTTACCTTATGTAGTTTTTGAATCATCTTTTTGCTAACATGCAGAAAGAATTTCAAAAGATATTGTTGTTGAAAATTACAACTGATCATTCAACAATAAATTAACACGAATTATATATCGATAATGATTCAAGAACATAAATCTGTTTTCTAATTATAGCATATGTAAAGATCCAATTTATCTCACATAGTTTTGAATCAACCGATACATCATATCAGATTTCTTCAACAACAATCACAATTGTGATGTCACGACCTTTATGCTTCAGGTAGGAATGAAACTGTTGACACATAAAAATTCAGCCCAAATCGAACGGTCCAAGGAATGAAGCCCAATTGGAGGATCCTCAAATCAGATAGCCCAAAGAACGAAGCCCAATCAAACAATTCAAGATGAAGGCCCAAATAGGGAGGCCCAAGAACGCGGTAACGTCATCATCCAAATTTGCAAGTCGCCCAGAATCTGAGCGAATAGAGTGCCATGTAGTCGCCCAGAGCTGTTACTCTATTCTCGCCCAAACCTCCTTCAAGTCGCTCAAAGTCTTAGCAAACATAAAGTGTTGTGGTTATCAAGAAGTGTAATTATCAAAGCAGTTATTAAAGCAGCCCTATCATGTTTTACGATTTAAGGAATTCAATCGAAAACGGTCGACCGACGAAGAGTAATAGCAGCAGTTAAAAAAGGCAGTTCCATAACAAGTTGACCATTACGAGGAAAGTGGGCGGTTGTAGAACGATCAAGCAGTTTTTAGGCGGTTGATCACAAAGAGATCATCCAGGGAGTATAAAAGGAAGAAAAGACATAGAGCAAATGACTGAATCAAAAACTCTCGAACAGAGAACATGTAATTTTAAATTCTTTAGCTTAGATTTAAACACTTCTTTCAGTAACTCGTGTGCTTGCGCCCCTTGGAGGCATTCTGTTTTTAATTTCCAATTGTAAAGTCATCGCCAATAAAGAACACCCCTTTTGGGACTTTGTTTCAAGAGGTTTGTCCCTTACACAATCGTCTGATTCCTTTTAAATGTTAGCGACTAACCCGCACGAAACAATTTGGCACGCTCAGTGGGACAGTGGTATTTGGTGTTGAAAATACAAAAGGTGAAACAATATGCCTCAGAGATCCGATAAGGAAGCAGCAAGTCAGGAAGGAATCCAGTCTGTGATCGAGCGATATGAGGAGCAGCATGCCTCTCCACGAACAGATGGACAGAATCAAAGCAGTAACAGTCGTTACGAACCAATGACGGAGTTGAGTCCTTGAACCATGCGTGCATTACTTGGAGAACTCACGCAAGACGTCGTTGAACAGGTAAATCTTCGAAGTATTCATAATATGGAAAGATTTATCCAAAATGGGAATGCACATTATAACAACATGGCCAAACAACTAAACACTTTGAACGAAACAATGAATAAGTTAGTAGGCCAAATATGTCAACCGGTTATACCTCTTGCAAATCACTTTCAAACTAGGACAATTGTGGGACATAATCCCTCAGTCCTAAATCCGAACTAAGAGGTAGAACCACTTTTTGGTCCCTCTACTTCAAACCAAGGGGGCATTGCAGTGCCAAATCAGAACAATGGTAGTGGTATACCTAACTTGGGGGGTAATCCAAATATAAGAGATAATGTCCTAAACAATGGACATAATACCCCACGTGTTAATGAGGGAATAGATGTTCAGGCTAATGGTAATGGCCCTAATCATGGTAACTTTGTTGCCAATCAAGGACCAAACATCAGGCCTCATGCAAATCAACCGGTTAACCAACCTGTAGGAATTCCATATGACCTCAATGTCATGTTGAGGAATCAGATTATGGAAATCGTACAGGATCAGATGGCTTTTGGGGTGCGTCCCATCATTAGGCCGACTTACACAAGGCCATATCCTGATTGGGTAGACCAAGCATATCCATGGCCTAGAGGGTATAAAGTGCCAGAATTCTCACTGTTTACCTGTTTAGGAGAGGTGTCTACTCTAGAACACATAGGGCGATTCACATTGCAAAGTGGTGATGTAACCGATTACCATAAAATGAGGCTTTTCCCTAGTTCATTAACAGGAGTAGCTTTCTCCTGGTTCATCAACTTGCCAGTGAACTCTGTTCAAACATGGCAACAATTGGAATAGCTATTTCACGCTCAGTTTTATAAAACTGAGTCTGAAGTCACTTTGGCTGATTTGGCGAATCTACGTTAAATGCCAAACGAATGGGCAGAAAGTTTTCTCCAAAGGTTTAAGACAGCAAGAAGCAAGTGTTTTGTACCTCTACCCGAAAAAGAATTTGTCAAAATCGCTCAGGGCTGCTTGAGCTTTGATTTAAAAAAAATTCCAGGACAAGGAATTTCCTGACCTTTTCCAGTTAAGTGCGAATGTGATTAGGTATGAACGACTGATAAGAGAGGAAGAACAGATGAAAAATTCTAGTCAAGGGACTTATTACAAAAACCCAAATTTTGACGTTCATACCATCAGCGACGAGTCATACGATCAGGCCGAAATGTGTTTGGCCGAATTGGTCAAAGGAGATACGTATACTTGTCCCATAATGGCCAAGCCTAGACCATCGGGCAAAGATGAGCCCATAAAAGATGGAAACATAAAGGCTAGAACGTTCTCGTTCGATGTTACCAAAGCTGACCTTATATTTGATAAATTATATAGGGATAAGTAGATAAAGTTGAGCGATAAGCATAAATTGCCAAACCCTGAACAAATTAAGGGTAAAAAATATTGTAAGTGGCATAATGCATGGTCACATTTGACTACCAATTGCTTGGTTTTTCGCCATGTATTGCAGGATGCCATTGAATCAGGACGAATTATGTTCGACGATAAGAAGAAGATGGCAGTGGATGAAAATCCTTTTCCACAGCCACTTGGAGTGAACATGGTGACGTCTGGTTTCAAAAACAAGTTGGCAAAATTCAAGTTGGTCATAGATGATGGAGAAGAGGATTCTAGACCACATCCCAGTGTCTTTGAACGAATCAAGGGAAAAGAACCAAAAAAGGACGAAGACGTCCTGTATGCAAGATGTAGAAGAGAAGTGAATGGAAATACGGAGAAACCAGGGATATGGCAGCATCCCCATCGCCCTACTTTCTTCCCAAACACTCAGCCTGGTAGAGGGCGAGGTACATCATTCTATAGAGGACCACTTTTGAGAGGCAGTTCAGGCCAGCAGATAATGGGAGAACATTCAGGCCGCAACCTCGCCGGCCAAATGTATGG